TCAGTATCTTTGCTGAATTTCATATATATATATATGCAACATCTTTGTTCATTTGTTCTCATAATAACCAAATGTTAAGGTTTTACAATGGTGGATGTGTTACCTTGTAAAACGTTTTCCTTTAAATGGAGATGAAGGAGATATAAACTTTATTTGAAGAAAAACTGATATTCTTATATTAGTTTAAAAATATTATAGTGTATCTGAAGTGGCATGGGTGAGAAGCTTCACTTCCTGAGAATTTATGCAAAGGTAATCACTCATCCCTGAAGATTAGTGAACCTCAACTCCACGTGATCGTATTTTTTTATTTGTTTCATCAGTGACATGCTTTCAGGGAACAGAAAAGTCCTCTAAATTCTTAGTTAGTGCTAGCAACCAGCTGCCAAACTCTGCTGCTTAATGCTTCATATAAATTATCAAATTCATCTTAAAAAAAAAACTCTGTAATTTATGTAAACTAAATCACTCATAGCTAAAACATTTGTAAACTCAACTCCATGTCAGTATTTTTCTGTTTGTTTCATCAGTTGCATGGTTTTACGAAATATAAAAGTCCTCTAAGATCCTGGTTTCTATTAGCAACTCAGTGCAGAACTCTGCTGCTAAATATTTCATGTGCATCATGGAGTTCATCTTCATAAAATCCCTGGAAGGTAGATGGCATCCTTAGTGTTTAGATAAAGAAGACAAGCCTCAGAAAAGTAAATAAATTTCCTCAAGATCACCTTGATACTTAGCAAAAAAATCACCAGTGGCCAGAGTTTGGTCTTAGTCCCATCTGTCTCACATCTCTGGTCTGTACTGTCTGATTTCCCCAAAGATTAATGGCAAACCAATCTTTAATTTAGCATCTTTCCTTGGACTGTACTAAGTTTTTTCATTTACTTCAACAGCATCTGACAGTCTCAAAATCCTTTTTCTATTAAGACACAGAAGCAGATTATAAAATGAGCTTTGTCTATATGTATGGTCTATGGGATACAAAAAAAGATGCCTCAAAAAGACAACTAGTCAATGAGAAGCTGGAAATTAAGATTTTGATTCTTCCTATCTCACCCAGTACTGAACTGATGCATTTCTTTTCAGGAGAAAAGCTTTCCATATTTGAATTTGAGATAAGTGATGTGGTAATGTAGTGATGTAGAAAATGTAATTTTCATTCATTGCCCTGGTCTTTGATTAAAGAATTATAGCCTTGCTTTGTAAAGCAGGCTTTTTCAGTGACGAATTAAAATCACCACGAGCTTCATTCCGTTTCCTTTTTTATTGTGTCTTGTGTCTCGAGCCTCTCTTAAGATCACCATGTAAACATTTAATGATGATGATGTTAACAAACAGAAAGACCTTGTTATACTAATGAACCTAATAAATGTATATAAACTAATACCTGTATGTCATAGTTAACTTTAGTGAATACACATTAAAGAGTCTCACAAGACTGCAATTCCACACAACAATAACCTCCTCTAATTCTACGAATTAAAAATCCAGGAACAGGGACGTGGAAAAATTATCAGCTCCATCCTCACTATGTAATAATCATTACATGTCTAATAAAAAGATGGATTATTTCTCCCTAAATGCTCAATTTTTCTGAAAATCTGTCCTTTCCCACTCAGTGAGCTTGGCTTCTAAAAGGGAGGGATCTGTTCAGCCATGCCTGAAGCTATTTTTCAGGTTAGTTAAGTACCAAAAACAGACAGTAACTGTGGTGAATGAATCATTATCTGCCACTGCAGAGTGAGGGTCAGAAGTGTGTGACTCAGTGATGCAAGGTCTGGACCTCAGCTATGAGTCTACTAGCACCTCAGTTATTACTTAGGAAAAAATCACCAGAGACCGTTGGCCATTGGCAATTTGATCTTGGCAAAAGAAGACTAACTTTGAACCACATTCTAGAGCTGATTAAAACACAGTTTATATAGACTTTATTTTTACCAGGTCCATACATATATATCAGGATTATGCATACACATTACTAGACAGATATGCGTTAGAATAAAGTATCTTTAATTCAACTTATGTAGGTAGAAGATATCTTTTTTATTTATTCCCTTTTCCGTTATCTAATTCTGACACTGGCCTGGTATATCAGCTACATTTCTGGATATTTGCTGGGGCACAAATGTAAAATGCAGAACTAATAAGAGAAATGTAGATTTTAATTAAAGAGCAAAAAGGAAAGCATTTTCTATGGTTAACAATAGAAATGGTTAAAGTCTTCAGTTGGCCCTTTTTATTGAACTTATTTCTTCCTATTATGAGATTTAATTTAAAATATGAAAAACTTTCTTGCCAGGAAGGGTTTACAGAAGGTGCTTATAAAATACACTGTAAATATTGAAAACCAAGATGTGTATCACAATTGTTAAAAATTAAGGTACAATACAGTGAAAGCTAAAAGTATAAGCATACAGGAATCTATGGTTTGGTTTTGAGAGAAAAAAGGCAAAATTAATGTTAGTCTGAATTAGCCAAAAAGACCACTGAACTCATTTATTAACCCTCCAAGGATAACAGTCTTGTGGTTAATTAAAAATATTTATGTTCTCCAATTCAGTTTACTTTATAAGCACTCTACATTTCTTTAAATGCCTTTAAAGTTAAAATTACATTTATATGAGAATAGTGTGTGTAGATATTTACAATTCCAAGGTAACCTTCATCCCTTAAGCAAAATAAAACTCTAATGTTCCATCTAAGATCATATAAGCCTTACAAATTCAAGTAATTGAACTTAAAGACCAGCAGAAATAACAAGACAAAAGAAAACATAACTTCTGGGCTACCTTGAGAAACTCCTTCATTTCTCTGTAGACACTAGACCTAGTGAGGCCAGATAATCTGCCCAGTGTCAACTGAAACAAATGTTTTCTGTAAATTCTCATAAAATAAAAGATTTACCCTGCAGCACAAACTTGGTGATGTTTACTGAGCGGGCCAGATATGAACAATGCCTATGTTACAGTGATTTCAGGTTTTCAAAGTAATTAATCATTCATCACCTAAAAATCCTCGTAGGATTTCCTGTTTCCCATTGGTAAGAACTGTACTTCCCGCACGCTATTTTGGGTGTACAAACATCATTTACGTCTCATTTCCTACTATCCCTTCCTAGTCCAACCTCACTGAATTGTTATTTAATACCTCTGTGTTTGTCTGTAAAATTCTCTTCCTTAAAACCATTTTTACCTGCTAAATCCTACTCTTACCTAAAAAAATCCAATATTTAAAACACTGACAGAGTTATCACTGTCCCTTGAATTTTCCCTTGTATCTTATACATACATTTTCTATATGTTCCAGAAAATTGTCTGGAAACTCTTTGACTAATATTCAGTTTTCCCTACTAAATTATATACCCTTCAAGGAGAGGGTCATTCTTTCTCATATGTATCTCTTATGCCTAAAATAGGCATGGTAACAATTAAGATTACTTTCTAAATAGTGCCTCTTGCTGATTTCTTCATTCTGTAATACATTTAACATAACCATTAATCAACAATAAAAAATGAGGGGCTGGAGATTTAGCTCAGTGGCACAGTGCCTGCCTGGCAAGCGCAAGGTTGTGAGTTTGATTCCTGGTACCAGAAAAAAATCAAAACCAAAACCAAAAAAAAAAAAAAAAAGAAAAAGAAAAAGAATAATATAAAATGAAAGTTAATATTGGAGTTATAAATTACTGATTAAGTCCAAACCACTAATGTTCAAAGTAACAGTTTGTTGATTTTACTAATGTAGAAAATTGTCTATATTTTTCAACATAAATGAGAAAGGGAAGTTTTTGTTAGCCAAAGAGAGACAATTCATTTCTAGAATGTAATATGAATTTTCAAGGGGACAAACCATATTTAAACTATGGAAAGGAGAGAGTTCTGTGGTCTCTGCAACCTGAACACCTTGTAGTGATCAGCAGAAATAGCCTAACCTGCTTTTGTGTCCACCTGACAGGTTAATCACATGTGGCTCCATGCTTGCCAAAATTTTTAAAATTTGATTTGCCATTAATGGAGTAGGTATAGTGACTAAATAATAATTGATTCACTTAGTCTTTTTTTTTTTTGGTTTTTCTCTGGTACCAGGAACAGAACTCATGACCTTGCGCTTGCCAGGCAGGCGCTTTGCCGCTGAGCTAAATCCCCAGCCCCTTGATTCATTTAGTCTTAACCCTCACTATAAACTCAGTAACTTTCCATCCTGGTTTATATGGCACTTTTTCATTGAAAAATCTATTACAATAGATTTTAATCAGATCAATTGCAGGTATATTAGCAGGAATGGGACTTCTCAGAGTGCAAAGCAAGGGTGAGACTCTAAATTAGCTATTGGTTCAGAACCCATACAGGGGGGTCCTAAATAAGTGATAAACTCATCCTCCTCGGAAGTCACTTGTACTTTCTATAACTGCAACCAGAGGCAGTGAATTCAGGGAAATTTTAGAGCTTGACATCTACATTAGATCCTTCAGCTTGTGCCCTAGTGGAATATTTAAAGCAATCTAAATTTGCTGCTCTTATTGAACAGTCCTAGACAGTAAAAAATAAGGAAACCTGATGAGTCAAATGCGGATTCTAATGATTAGAAAGTGAAGAACTAGTCAAACCCTTTTAGATGGAGAAAGAACAATTGCTAATTTGGATTTGCACAGATATTCCACATCTTTAAATTGATAATCCCTCCTTTTTGAAGTGTAATAAAACCATATCTCTTTAGTTTCAAGAACCAGAGGATTCAAGCAGCAAAATAAATTGTAAGGAGCAGACAAAATGAGCAAATAGGTTTAAATTGGTTAAGATAAGAGATGAACTAGTGAGTCAAATTTCTTGGCAACTTCAGTATGTACTGAATAATGACTAGGAAGAGTTTCAGTAGAATTTTATGCATGAAAAATAAGCACAAAGGAAAATGAGGAAGTATTTAGCACAGAACAAAAGCACATAAATAGATAATCTGGTGATGAAAATGAGGAAACGAAACTTTGGAAAAATTTACTTGATGTTGATTCTGATCACAAAGACTGCCTATTAGATTACTTAAATTGCAATAAAATTAAACAGACAACTCAGATCCTAAGAAATATTTCATTCTGAAGGAAAAACTCAGTGACATAAGAGGTAAGTCTTAAAATTTCATTGTCATATTAGTTTTTATAAAGCTTTATTCTAACTTCTTGCTGTAGCATATATTTAACTTAGAAAACACAGATTTATTTGTTGAGGGCACTTTAAATTGTTTTCTAGAAGTAATCAGTAATAGACAGACAGTAGATAAAGAGGTGGGTCAGTTGGCAAACATAAATGGATATAGGAAGATTAATAGAAAGTTGAATTGATAAACAGATAAAGTTGGTTTAGAAAGCTCTGAAATTTAATTGACTTTAAAGTCCTTTAATAGTTGCAGTATAGGCACTACACTATTGCCTTAGGTTTGGGGGTGAATGGCATATATCATTTTTCATATTTATTTTTTGAATCTCAATGTTGTTTTCTTTTTTCTTTTTTTATTTTAAAGATAAAAGAACGGAAACATATTAACAAACACACAGATATAAACAACACAAAAATAATAAAAGCAATGCAGATTTCTATTGCTTTATTGAAAGGAACAGTTAATGTTTAATTGTTTGATCAATCTGGCATATATAATTTTAAAGAAAAATATATTTTACAGGACTTTTCAGATATAAGTTGATTTTGCCCAAAGCAGTGTACATAGACTCAGCTACATACTATAATCTCACAGCCAATGAAGACTATTATGTAAAAACAAAAATTCCGGGGCTGGGGATTTAGCTCAGTGGCAAAGCACCTGCCTCACAAGCACAAGGTCATAAGTTCGATTCCTGGTACCGGAGAAAAACCAAAAAACAAACAAACAAAAAAAAAACAAAAAACAACAACAACAAAAATTCGTAGAATGTAAAGCAACCACGGAATCAAAACCTCCAGGTGAGGGGCTTGAAAGTAGGAAGCTATGAAAGCATTACTGAGATTCCTATGGTTTCAGTGCTTACTTTAGGAGTGCTCATGATTCCAGGAACAATGGTTTTAATATGTGAACTTTCCCTAAGAATGCAATGTATGACTTCGGGGAAATTGGGACAATAAGTGCTACATTTTATCTTCCAGGGTATGTATTCAGTCTAGTTGTATCCAGAATGGGTTAAAAGCCCTCCAATTCTATATTTAAGCCTTTGATAAGTGCTGAAAGGTGAGAATAGAGTAAGGGGAAATAATACCACCAAATAGCAATAACAACAAAAAATGAACCTTTCCTTCCAAAGAGTTTCCACTCTGGATTGGCACGCACGAAGAACAAAGATAAATTCTGAGCATACGTGCAACGATATGTGATCAAGCACGTGGCTACTGAGGCAGTGTTAACAGGAAGGTAAATAAGAGGTTAGTGCGGGCTTGAGCTGTATCACAGTTTAGAAGCCAAGTGAGCTCAGGGGACTGCTGTAGCGCACATCTAGTCCAGTGGGGAGAGTATTTTGCATACAGACTTTTGAAAGGTGAGGTGAGATACTGAGATGTTCACTGTAGGGGGAGCACAATGAAGAACAAATGCAGGAGTGCGTGTAGCATGCCCCCAGGCTGTCAAGGAGCTCATCCCCGGAGCAATATTTCAACTATCCCTCTGTTCCTTGTTCTTTATCGTACTACTGCAGTGTTCTCTGAACCAGCATCGTTCAGAAGATCAGGCCACAGAAAGGATGGTCCCATTCACTTTTCCTTTTTGATTCTGTTATAGGAACTGAACCCAGGACCCACAACACTGAGCTTCGTCTCCAGCCCTTTTTGTATTTTTATTTTGAGTAGACTCCATATGTTACTAAGTTGGTCAAGCTGGTTTCGAATTTGAGATCGTCCTGCATTAGCCTCCGAGAGTGCTGGGATTACAAGTGTCTTCTCCCACACCTGAGCTGAAGTGTGCTGCTCCTGCATTCAGCAGATGGACACATGTGATTCTCTGAACGGCTTTCAGATGCTAAGGTACCTGAGGTGTGGGAGGAGCACAAGGGGTGAGGAGGAGAAAGGATGCAGTGGTGACACAGGGAGCTTTTCAGACCTTGGGCAATTTGTGGTCTAAACTATATGGGTTTGTGGGTTTATCTGCATACTTGGGGCATTTTAAGCAATTCTCTAGGGCTGCAAAATGTGAAGCAGCCTACAAAGTACTATGTTTACATAATATTTTCTAAGTACATCAAATTGCCTTTTCAACACCACCATGTTATCATTTCTTTTTAAAAGATGAATTCTGACTTATAATTAGACTGGGAATCTGTGCTCTAATCCAGTTCTGAGATGTGCTTGTGACCTATTTTTCTGAATACTTGAAAAACATCTGCTCCATGAACAAGCTATGTGTTCATCTCCTTTTCTTTTCTCTTTTTCTACCACTTTATTCTTTCTCAACCTTCCTCTGCCATTGTCTCTTTATCTCCCGGTCTCTGCCATTCTTTTTTCTCTCTTTCTGTCCCTCATCACACCGAATGTGAAACTTGAACTGAGCGCTATAAGTGCCCCGTCATCTTTAAGCATTTTGTATGAAATTTTTAATTGACTCCTTCCCAGGCTCCGTAGTCAGGATTCCTTGATCAGAATTCTCCCCAGTAGACTTGTCCCTCCTCTCCCTCTCTCCTTCCCCTTCCCCGTCTCAGGCTGTCTGGGTCGGCTGACTTGCTTTGTGCTGAGGTCATCCCTGATCTCCACCTGTTTCAGAAAGGTAAGGAGTTACATTGCATTCTCAGGAGGGATTTATTTAGTTTCGCATTTTATTTTTATGCACAATCCTGAGAGCAAGTCTTTTCCTACAAAGTCCTGTGCGGTTTCAGTCGTGAAGGAGTGCGCAGCCCTCACCAGTGAGGCCCTGCCCATGAAACCCCAATGAGGCCTTGAGATATACCTGCCCACAGATGAGGAGTGAGCAGAGAGTCTTAAGTTTTGTCTAAAGGTCAATGAGGTTGCGGTCTCTGGGCACCTTTCCCCAACAATCCCTGCTTTCAGGGTGTGGCAGAACTGAGAAGAAGAGGATGCAGCCACAATTCCTATGTCACCATCCCCCTCTACGGCCATCCACAGTGATCCCAGGGGTCTCTCACAGGGACATGTAATCAGTGTTCAGTACGTGTCTCGCTCTGCCAGGCAGGCACTGTTAGATGACCGGGACAGAGGAGCACTCTGCTAGATCCTTGTAACAGCCTTGTAAGACACAGGAATATCATTTCTAATTTACAGAGGAGGAAGCAGGTGTAAAGAGGCTACGTGATTTACCCAGGTAATACAGGTACTACAAATTTCAGAAAAGGGACATTAGCTCTTCCAAACAAAATAAGCACATTTAGTTTTCAGAAAAGCAGTATAATACCAAGTAAATATATTTTCTGGGAATTCTTTTTTGTTTCATATCTATTATATTAACCTCTAGAAATTGAAAGAAGACTTTAGGCATTAAGAGAACAGAACATTTGGTAAGAAGGCAGACACTAAAATCTAAAAAAGCACACTGACTTTTTAAAAGTGCACTGATTTTTACAATATACTGAAGTGCAGTGTACTTTTAAAAGTACAATATTCATTTTAAAGTACACTGACTTTAAAATACACTTTTAAAAATGCACAGATTTTAGAAAAATACATGGATCTAAAAAATACACTGACATCCTTTCAGTGGGGCTCTTGCAGTCAAGAGGAGCAGACCATTCTCCAGCAAAATTTCTTTAACATTTTTATTTCTTTAGTAGATAAACTAGTGATGCAACTAAAACAATAAGAACCCCTAAGGCTTGTTCTGCTTCAACTCACTAGAGTGCCTCCCACACAGAAGAGAGAAAAATAACAGCAAAATTTAAAACTGAAAATTAATACATTACAAAGAAACTTCAAGAGCAACTAATAAAATGAATATGCCAACTGATCTAGCAAAAGACCAAGAAAACACAAATACTAACTGTAGTTTGATAAAGGGAGAACTGTAGCTCTAGTGGAAAATAAATGCATGACATCCTAGACACTGTGATGGATTTTGTACATTGTTTTGTATCTGGAATCAAACGCAGGACCTTGTGCTTACCAGGCAGGCACTTGTGCCACTGAACTATATCTCTGGCTGATTTTATAGGTAGAAGAATTGCTAAAATTTATTTAATAAGTGATAATAATTCTAAACAGGTCAATAGTCATGAAGTATATTAAAAATGCTGCCAAAGAGTTACTTTCCTGAAAGAGTGTCAGACACAGAGTTTTGAAATGCATTCTTCATCTTTATAGGAACACATAATTCCAATGCTGTTAAAGGATTTTAGAATTGAGCAGAATATACAATAATTACTATTTTATAAAATCGGAATAACAGTTATCTAAGTCATGAGAATGCAAGTACACAAACGGGAATTATAGAATAATTTCATTACCATGAGGAATAGGAATAACCCTTAAAAACTCAGCAGTACAATGCAAGAATAATTTATTATGGCCAAGCATAGACTAGATTTTGAAAGCAAAGATGTGTTAGAGCTGGTATATCAAAACCATAATCCATTATCATAATAGATCAGTGAAGGAAGACCATATACTGTCTTTAATATATGCTTACAAAGCACTTGATAAAAACAACTTTTTCTAATGAAAATATTTAGTAAATAGGGGTTAATAATCATTTCTTAAAATATATACATTAATATGTATACAAGTGCACATGTACATGCGGTTATATGTAATATCAAAAGATCACAAACTACCAAAGGTCAGTGTTAGGGTTACACTTAGTGGTGATATTTTCAAAGCAGTGGAAATTAAAAACAATATTAATTTATAGATATTTTTATCACTAATACTATTTAATATTATCTTAATGTACTGACACATATGGTTAGGTAATAGTTTGAATATAGAAAGAAATATTGTAAGGATTTGAAATGGACAGAATTTTTAAAATTCTCAAAGCAATGAAATAGTTAAATTTAATTAAAACATTTCTTATATTATAAACAATGACTCATAGAAAATTTTATTGAAAAATAATTCTACTTCCCAAGGCAATAAAACCATGATACATTTTTAAAGAATAAATTTAACTAAAATGCAGAGGTGGTAAAAATTATACTCTATTGAAAACTTGAATGGTTTGGAACATCGTTGGTGTTGAATTGGATGATCCAGCATTGTAAAGATATTGGTGCTTCCTCTATTAATATAGAAGTAAAATGCTTCTCCATAAAAAAGTGAACAACATTAGACCTTGTCTAGATAATTTATTGCTGTAACGTAGAACCTACAGCATTACCTGGCACTTATCAATTTTAATAAATTCTTGCACATTGGATAAACAGATGTATGCTTATATGGTAAAAAGTAATTTGTAAAGTAGATATGTGACTTTATGTTGTCTACTATCAAGTTTCTATTTAAAGTACATGACCAAAGTATTTGCAGTGCTCTTTATTACAAAATACATTCTTACTTCCTAATTTTTATTTCTATAATTTTCAAATTGTTATAATAAATATATAATTGTATGAGGTTAAAATGCTCAAATATGAAAAATTGTTTATTTACAGTGAGGCTGTGACATTCAGTATCATCTGAACTTGCATTCTTTATGATTAAATTAATTATGTCTGAGTGCTACAGTTCAGCCGTGGTGATGGTATATATTGCAAAGGAAAAGCACTGAGAATGATTAAATATTTTTCGTTAAAGAAAACAAATATATTCAGGACAAGTCTTAACTGCATAAGTTAGAGTTTACAAAACACTTTCACATAGGTGCTCATTTAATTCTCATACTATTGTTTTTACTATAGACATAAGATGAATAATTCTTAGAATGGACAAAGTATCCATAGTTACCATATTAACGCAAAAGCAGGACTTGAACTTGCCTTAACTGCTGCACTGGATGGCTAAGCAATGACAATTATCTTTATGTAGCTGGTGCTCCACCTGGGGAAACAGTATGTGTTGGGGTGATGAGGAAGGCAAAGATAGGAAGTAGACTGGATGAGAAAATCCAAATTTCCATTTAGAGCATAACTGTGCAGACTGCTCCTTAATACTATGGCATTTTATTTAAATGTAATATTTTTTTCATCCAGAATGAAAAATTAAGACTGGGTCATACTATGAAGGCAATGTTTTCCTACTTCAGCAAAGCTCACCCTCTTCTCAGTGAGGCCAAGTTGCAGTTGAAAAGGTTGTAAATAAAAGATGAACACATGCTGACTCAAATGTAAAGAAACCATAGGAAGTAAATTTGGTATTTCGACTTCTGTGCTATTTGGTGAGCTTGGACACATGCCTACGAGTGAGCTCTTGTTTACAATAGCACATTTTCCTGTTATGAGGGAAATGAGGCTTTATTTAGAGTATTGTATTTGGGGCATCAAAATTACTTTCTACCTGTATTGAATCCGTATGTATCCATGATGAAAAGAAAACTTTTGTACTCTAATGAATGATAGTGTGTGATTCATAATAAAAGGTTATGAATTTCCACTTTGCAACATTTCCTTTTCAAACATCTACAGACTTCAATATTTGCTCCAACTACACTTACAGAGATTACAATCTCATCCTAATAATGCCCTAACAAGAAAGAACACAACGTCAGTTTGGAATGAGCGATACCTTTTTCCTCTGAGTGAAGAATATTAAGAACAAAATAAAACAATTTTTTGTATTGTTTCTCACTTTCAGGAGAAGTTTTAGAGATAATTTTCTTTATTTTTCAATAGCTGAATCCCTTGATACTGGAGAGCAGAACAGAAAGAATAAAATATTGATATATTGCAACTACCGTTGAGTTTTAATTTTCCCTGGTGAATCACAGAAATTTGTGTTATTGGTATTTTATTTATTGGTACCTTATTTATTAGTAGACAACTCTCACTGAAGGCATTAAAACTCATTAAAGATGAGAAAAATATGTAAGCAATTGACACATAATGGCTTCCAGTTTTAGAGAAATGTTTATCTTGACATTGCACTTG